TGATGAGCAGGACGTGTCATACAAGCCAGTCAGTATCATCAGAGAACACGCACAGTCTCCTCGATAGGTGTATCGTAGTCGAATCTATGACCTAGAGGAGAAGAACAAGTCTGTTACACCGTTTTGAAGTTTCAGCGACAAGTAGACAGCCTTACATTGCAGAACGTCGATGTGATCCATCTGCAGCCGCTCAAGGCTATGCTTGACCGAGTCAAAGATATGCTAAGAAGAAAAAATGGACTGGCTATTCCCACAGCACCCAAGGACAACCTACCTTACGACTCAGCCCATGCTGGTTAACATAGCCTATCGTATCGTGCGGAGGAGAGGGCTTCGTAGCGGCTGCAGTAAGATTGGTAGCGTAGTCTTTCGCTACCGTGCCATAGACCTGAGGCACTATGTGGATGAAGCTATTCTGGATTAGGGATACAGCATGAAACTGACCTTGGTCATGACAACGATCTCATCCCGAGGCAGCCCGAGACGCTTTATCGTCTTGCCAAGTAGAATTTCCGAAAGACCGTTGGAATAATTCTGCGTTCCACGGGAAATTAGTTCATTCGTCATATACATTAGTATTAGACCGTGGCTCACATTAGATGTATCGAAAGTATTGATTCCAAGGTCGTATCTGTCACAGACAGATGCAAAGTCTATTAATGTTAGTCGGTATACATCAGTGGAGACTCCACCCACGCAGCCTCGATATGCCTCGCCATCTCATCCTCATTGCTGATGACCCAGTTCAACCACTCAGAGCTCCCATACTGCATCGCTCCAAGAATAATCCTGGACACTTTCAGGCCCGAGTTACCGAGCCGAACTAACACCGATATGTGTGATTAAAGTCACCCACTGCAGATCGAGACACTGATGGATGAAGTGCAGCACACTCACCATACGGTATCTTCTTCATCTGCTGGCTCCCGACGGTCGCCATGATTTGTGGTAAGTTAGGACGGACCCCAGGCTCCAACCATGGATACACTGATTTATGTACCTACGACTCCTCGGCAGCAAGTGACGCGTAGGTGCGGCTCCTGCATGCCAGAAAGCGATTCGGGCCGCGATGATAAGCTGCCATTGAAATGTGTCTTTCTGACAAAATCGCGATCACTCCAGTCTATGCGTATGATCCAAAACTTCTCACGTCGTAACAGAGCACCAGTCATGTGTGATAAGGCAAAGGCCGCTATGAGTCGAAATATGGACGCTAGGGCACGAATGGGATATATGCAGAAGAGAAATCTCTACTGTCAAAACCATACCATCCACGCAGATATATGAAGCCCAGTTGGCCTCGACGATCTAGCGCACAGAACGCAGCACCCGTAATTGCCGCTGTCAGGATATCCACCAATCCATCGTACCGCACTGCGAAAGGTCTTGGTAAATCGGCAAAGCCGTTGCACTTACTTTTCTGGGTCTTAATGGCAGCCTCACAAGTCAAGGAGTTATCCGCCACTGTCGACGCATTCAGGCGTGTCTACAATATAGATAATGGACTGGTCCATTGAGATGTAGGGTAGTCGCTCTCAAGGGCGCTGTTATCGGGCACGAAGCGCGCTATGGATCTCGTCAAGCATACCGCCAGGAAGACATCAATAGTGCAGGAACCCGACGGTCAAAGCCTGCTTCCGATAATCAAACCAGATGGGAGTCAAACGCATCGGGCGGCACTTCGAAGACAGACAAGCACTAGAATACCCTCAAGAAGGCGAGGTGCTAGGCCAAGATAGCAGTGCTGGAAGAAGACAGATGGTGCTCGAACGAAGGCATGGAGGAGCGCATCAAGAAAGCAGCCCAGGACCAGAGTGGATAGGTCGGACGAGTTCTAGTGTGCGAGGGTATCCTGAGATAGTCTGAGCAGTGACTCCAACATTATAGCAGGCATGACAGGAAATAGAACGCAGATTGCTTGTGGCATCTGAACATGGGACGGTGGCGTCGAGAGATCCGTCGCAGTAGTCGAGAAATCTATCGCTTTTAGGCCGTGAAGCATCCGATAGTGGGCTGGATGGTCGTGGTCGTTGAGTCTGTGTCGTAGATCTTAATAGTCCGTAGAACAATTTTTGGCTGGAAGGCTGCAAGTATGAGTGATAACAAAGACTGCTGTCTGTACTCGCGCTCTCGTGGTACTAGTCTGGCTCGTCTAGAGGGACAGTCCCACGAGAATGTACGCACTTTGTACTGGAACCCTTCTCTCCTGTATCCCTAGCCACGGTCCAGTCTGATCATCCTCGTCTCCTAGCCGACCAGCGTTCCCTCCATCGCACTGTAATTGCAAAACCTGATGAGAACCTTGCTGTTTGTAATTGCGTGAGCCTTTCTTTACTTGCTCGACAAGAGAACCGTCAGACGTAGTGTCCTTCCTTTCGCACCCCGAACGTTGGAACGTCACGGTAACAGGCTGAAGTTGGACCGTGGGACAAGGGGTCTATCAAAGCCGTTTAGGTACCGAGGATGTACCAAAAAGGGCCAAGAATGGTCTAATTGAAGCACTGTGCCGGACCATTTCTTCTCACGACTGGATGTCTCGAATACAACACTAATACTAGTCGCCGTAGTAATATAATCAATACACGATTCAATAAATCCTTAAGCTTAAACTTGAAACTCAATTGTGATGACTGGAATATAGATGTCACGGCCTCGGTCCAGCACTGGCAGGAAGTGGCTGGACATAAGACTTTCGATGCACTGAGAGGACCGAGTACTCCTCACGCTCACTCAGGTTTCCTGCCCAGGTTCTAATACTAGGGCCGTCCCGTCCTGTGAACTCGAATCTTCTGAATCGCCTACACAGGAAACATCTGTAGAACGCAACCCAAACCCCGCTGGAAATCTCGGATATAAGCGCTCTGACCGAGCCTATTGGCAGCGACGGATATCGAGGCAAGACACACTTGCTCGCCGCCGGTATATGCGGAATATGCAATAATAGAGCAAGAGAGCATGCTAAACATAACCTTCTGACCTTCCTTCGAGAGTCATCTCGACGCGTGGCGAGCAGACGTTTCCTAAATTTCGGGGTATCCGCGCCGCAAGTGCCTGGTGCACGTTCGAGAGAAGATCTGGCAGGCCGCTGCAGTAAGTTCTTTAGCAGGCGCGGTAAACTTGGATACGCGAGGGCACACACGATTGGCCCCCACGCCTGCCGTTGTCGTGATCCCGCAGGTCTTGATCTCCGACGCTTCTTCCTTGAATAACCAGGGATGTTATTGGGCCAGCCGAATGTAGAGGGCGAGGGAGGCCTCTGAGTAGATCACGGCGACTCGGAGAAAACATATAGCAACTTCCCAGTTCATGGTTTTGCCAGGTGACAGAGCCCATGGTGACGAGGAGAACCACATAGATGAGACTGTGGGCACGGAAGGCCAGTTTGCACCCGAGGTAACGGACAGGTAACAGAAGTCGCAAAAAGGAGACATGCGGTATAGAAAGTGTTATGTCGCGTCCATTTTTGGCAAAACCACGTGGCCTAGGGAATGTCAGAATATTTATGACAAAGGGTCACGGCTTTTTATACGCTTTTATACCACAGCCAGCCGCGCTTTCTGCTATACCGTTGTACTCGACTCTACTCTACCACCACTACTACAACCCTCATGTCCGCCCCCGCTGTCGCTCTTCCCGCTAGACAAAACGCCGCAGACGGTGCTAACCTGACCATCCGACCGCCAGTGTGGTCCATTGACCACTCTGACGCACCCCAGTCCACCCCTCTCCCAGCCAAATGTGCGCGCCATGAGCTCGGTCGCGAGGGCGTCTGCTGCAAAGAACTGAAAGACGAAGATGAGCGCACTCTCATCAATCCAGACGTTGTCCGCGATGTGTGAGTACCGCCACGGTCATGCCAGCCTCCACTATTGCTGATATCTTTTTCAGTGTCATCGGCTTGTCCGACGGGCTAACCGTTCCCTTTGCCCTTACAGCGGGTCTCTCCTCCCTTGGCAACTCGCGTGTCGTTGTTCTGGGCGGTATCGCCGAGCTCATCGCTGGCGCCATCAGCATGGGCATCGGTGGCTTCCTCGCGAGCCAGGCCGAGCGCGACCACTACCGCTTCCAAGCGCGCCACACAGCTGCCCGCGTCCTCCGCTCGTGCGCGGGTGAGATGGAGCGCGAGGTCTACGCTGTCCTCGGCCCCGTCGGCGTCGACGAGTCGCTCTCCCGGCGGGTCGCGAACTGCCTTAGGGAAGTCGAGATCGGGTCAGATGCCGAGTACAACCCGAACGCGCCTGCAGACATCGAGTCGAGCTCGAAACTAAAGTTCCAGCCGACCGTCGGCCTCACACCGTTCCTCCTCAAATTTGGCGAGGGTATCGAGGAGGTCTCTGTCTCGCGCATGTACACGTCCGCCTTTACTATCGGCATGGGCTACCTCCTCGGCGGTCTCATCCCCCTCCTCCCGTACTTCTTCTTCCAACAGGCACACGTCGCCCTCCTGTGGTCATGTATCATCACCGGCATCATTCTCCTCATTTTCGGTGTCGTCAAGGCGCGCGTGACGGGCGCAGCGGGCTCAGGGATCGGTGGGTATGTCTGGGGAGCAGTGAGCACGCTAATGGTGGGTGGCGCGGCGGCGGGTGCAGCATATGGCATTGTTGCGGCATTAGAGAGCGCGTAACAGGAGGCGCTTGTGCTTCTCTCTGTGGTGTGGTGTTGACTATACGCGGTGTACGAAGGCGTGCTCTCTTGTCTGTATTGGTGTCTTATTGCTTGGATGTGTATTTCTAGTCTGGCAGCCTTGCATGCATAATCTCGCCCTTAATAGAGCGTTTTTCACTTGCATGCAGGCTACTGGCCATCTCACAATGCGAGATACACCGTACGCTCCACAAGCAAAGCTGAAGAAGAGTTTGTTGGTCACATGTTGCCTGATCCGAACTCTGTCGCCATCGCTAACGAAAACGAGAACAAAGCAGACAGGAAATCACAGAGGAAAGACTTGGCCTGATGGGAAAGAGGATGGCAATATTCGGTTGAAGGTCAAAATGCAATGGCCAACGCCGGGGTCGAACCGACGACCTTGGCGTAAACAGAGTTTCCTGTACCTTGGAACCAGATATATTAGCACCACGCTCTAACCAACTGAGCTAGTCGGCCGCTATGACTTGTTTGGATTTTTTGATATTATATTATGTCAGCATCCCTGATGGTATTTGAGTGCTCCTGGCGGCCACTTACCCGTGGCCTAAGGAGGTGTCCTGTCAACATTATTCGTGCAGATATACCCTTCTACAGTTATGCATGGTATGTACGCACAAGCTCACTTTGGTCATCCTGTAGTGAATATCTTCTCGGCCTCATTTCGCTGTGTAGGCCAATGCTGGTTTCTGGATGATATGCGAGGCGACATAAAACGTGCGTGTCGCTATCGGTCTTCTCGCGTTCAGGTGCTTACGACTTGACGTGAGCTTTCTATGAAAACTACTTGTTTCCGAGCAACCTCACGACACCTCACCTTCTCAAGGCATTTACAATTTTACATACACAGTCTCAGCGCCAAGACTCGGCATGGCGGCCCCTGGCGTACACAGCGATGGTTTTAGATGTTTACACAGTCGGACTCTGTCTCACTCAGAGGAGAGCGCTCCGGATCGGCCCTTCTTGCGCTTGTAGCGGTTCACGTTACACGCCGATGTCCAGGACTCTCAGCCATGCACCGGCGCGAAGGCTCTCGCGCTGTCGAGGGATGGATCGCCGCGACTTATCTCCTTAAGCCGGGTGAGGGGAGTACGCTGAACTGGGCTCAGTCGGCAAAGTCTTGCCATTGCTAGGTCGAACTCGCACTGCCTGGCGTCGTCGCAGCTGTCTGGTCTAGGAGTTCCGTGACAGAGTCCCCACACAGGCAAACTCGGTGATTCATCGCCTGAAACCTTCCTAGGCGTCGACTCTGTAGCTATCCCCGACTCCACCGTCCATCAAATCTCCGAAGGGTCTTGAGACTCTTCGTGAAGTTGCACTGCTCTGTAGAAACGCCTCCTTCTTAATGGCAGAGCCACTAGATGTGAGAGCTCAGAGAATGTGTCTCTTACTTCCCGCGACATTGAATGTTTCTCGTCTTCCCTTCTGCCCTGAGAACTATCTTACGGATCGACGGAGACTTAGAGGTAATTTCTCATGGTCACGCCACAAGGTCCTGGAGACAAGGTTGTTACCATTCCATGCTGGTGGATTTCGCATCGTAGGGGAAACGCGGAAATTTTCTGTCACGTCAACCATGTCTCCTATTTCCCATCCTAGTCCGCGCTGGACGCCTGCATTCTCATCCATCCATGGCGGAGGAGTGACTAGGCCCGCCCTAGAATGGATCAACGCTAAAATCAACCCCTGCTACATACTACTCAATTGGTGCGATGTCTTACCATGGCTCTGGTCCTTCATATTTTGGGTTCTGGCTCTCCCTGCGGTGCAGTCGACCTCAGTCTCGGTCTCGGTCTCGGTCTATGTATATGAGGATGCTGCTAGATTATCGTGCTGTAATTAACCGAAGATTTCACCGCTCTATCTAAATGTACTCAGTATAAGGACAAAATGGCGAACCTTGGCAGGAATATCCATTTCATCAAGTGAAGAAGTGTTCGAGGGCTAGTTCTTTGGAAGGCAAGGATCTCGCACTGAATGCTGCCATTCGTTCCCTCACCGCCGGCAGTGCGCGTTTGTTTCGGCACTATTCAACACTAATGCCATCTATTCACTTACCGCAGCCTCGGAGCGGGGTTTGTGCGCATTCCACTCTGTCCGGCAGGACTCCGTGAAGATGACGCAGCTCTGGATTTCCCAGAGGTCAACAGCCCACTCATTCATTCTCTTGTCGGGGTGTATGCGTTCGTGATGCTTCTCCATAATGATCTTCTTTTCGCTCGAGTAGGCTTCCGGTACCTGCACAGCTATCTTCAAATCTCCTTCATGTTATTGGCCAAGTGAAGAAATGTGAGAGGGATCACAGAATGCGTTGCGTACGTATGCATTCTTACGAACAAACTGTTTGTGGTCTGTCACTAGTCGTACTCTCCCTCAAGCAAACGGATCGTATGGAGTCTTCACAGCTATTACCGAATCAGCCTTGCGCTACTGGCTCGACAGACACATGTGGGAAGTATCAAGATGCCTCTGAGTTCCCTCTGCGAATCGGTAAGCTCGCCATGCGAGTATTCTTGTCCACTTTGAACTGGGCTCATCTGGGTGTAGCACTGTAGGTCGTCTCCAACCTGTGGTGCATCCTTTCAAGTTACACTCACTCTCTAACGCAGATGGTGCTGATCACGACGCGAAAATACTGTCATCCCATTTATGCCGACACCTGAGCACAGCGGTTCTATCTCCCATCGATCCTCTGCACGAGCGCTCTTGATCACGACCTACACACTCTGATATGCTAGCGCTCTCTGGATGGATCTACAGCTGATCATCGTATCTACAACAATACTGGTGAGGATGTTCCGACACGCATACCGCCGCCTTCCTTGAACGTCCTCCTATCTCCTTCCAACAATCCTCTCTCCTCTTCGAATATTTCGACCCGTCGAGGCAGCGGTCCAATGCTCTACGGTCAAGTTTCTAATACACCATGGATCCTCTACTCTCCTCGTCTCGCGCAGTTGCTTGCGGTATTCAATATGGTGCTCTAGATCAGTCTTGTGGCCACTAGTTCATATATCGACCGCTCTAAGACCGTGATACCACAAATCTTGTGACAACGAGCCAGAGTCCGATCAGAGGCGCATGTTTGAATCGGAAATGGATCATTCATTGCGTGCAGCAACGGTTCTCTTAAGTATAAAGACTGCTGCTATGTTCTCAGAGAGGTCCGTGATTTCGCAAGGTCAAAGAGAAGACAAGCGTGAATGACACGAGCCCGGTGGCCACATTTTGTTCTAACACATCATGAGCCATGTTGTCTATCCAGGAGCAACCAGCAAAGAAGTTGTCGCATGGTGAGCGTCTTGGGTTTTGGTCGGGTCGTATGAAAGCTCATCCTCGACGTTAGTTCGGGCAACTCAGACCTAAGCGTGTCCATTATTATCCTTGGAACTGTTCAACGTGGTGGCTCAGATATTCCATAGTGTATCATCGACGACGAAGAACGGAAGGCAGAGCAAGTTATATTGCAATGTCCGCCTGTTGTATTCGAATGAGGTCAATATGATATTGGGTTTTACACCTTGACGCATCACATGTAAGAGACAATTGGTTCGGTCTAGACGGGCTAACTTTTTTTGCGGATCGAACTGTAGAACTATTTGGATGGTCTCTCCGAGACATTGCTAGCGAAGACGGTAAAACCGTCTTGGGCATTCTCGGGATGAGATCGTCATGACAAAGGTCGGATTCAGGTGGTGTGTGTCACTGAGTATGTTTGAATGTTCAAACACCTCAGGACTATGGCACGGCAGCCAAAAACCGTGGTACCACCTCGCCCGTACCAGACGCTCGCCGCCTCCGGATACAATGGGCTACGTCAATCAACAGAGGATTAGCTGTAAAAGCAAGTCTTCGATACTCCAATCGTGACCTTTGGAGAAGTTTCTTTCACTTTCTTCTCAGCATATCTTCGATTCCCAGTACGAACGACTACAAGTTGATTATATCGATGTCCTGTCGTGTAAAGACATTTATTCTTTGACTCGTAGTGTGAGTGCTTACAGTCCCATACAGGACATCGCTTTAACTACGGAACAGTGTATCGAGGAAACTGTATGTGTTCTGTGGTGGCACAGGTGAATGCCTGGCATGAATTACCATACCTGTTGGAGTATATGCAGGCTCTTCACGACATCATGAAGGCTCGATTTATCGAGATTAGCTCATGGTATGCGTACAAAATGCAAGCGCCGACGTTTTGTCCCCGTCATGGCAGTGTCCAAGCTAACTTGCATATATATTCGAGGCCTTGCAGAGTATAGCATGTAATAATTGTACGAGAATCTCCGATGCATAGATTACATTCAGTCTGTTCGAGAGTGGCACACCAACTATACGTTTCATCCGGGTAACGAGGGGCGTGCAACCTTCGGGGATGCTGCCACATTCGATTGCATCTACGGACTATCCACCCAGTGACTGATCCTAATCAGAGTCTGCGTGCGTTCGGGTTCATGCCAAGCGAAGCACAGGAAGTCATGAACAGCATCAGATGGTATGTCTGTGATGACCTCAATCCCATCTGCAGCCATTTTCTGGGTTAGAAGTTCCGAGTCATCGCACAGACGTTCTGAGCCTCCCGCCACTACATACGCCGACGGAAACCATTAAACAGGCCCGTGGCCGGCTGTACATAGGGTGAGCTGGGAGACAAAAAGGGATCGGTCTTCGCTAGTTCTCGACTAATGGGTCCTAGAATCGAGTCTGTGCTGTGCTTGACGATTTGTTCCCATGATTTTTTCGGTGCAAAGATGTCGCATACAGCATTACGCTCCTGTGATGTACCCGACCCATTCCGCGAAGCGGACAAGTCCAGTGTAGTCGACACGGACAGCAAGTGTCCAGGTGGGGGCAACGACGGAATGGCATTGTCAACCAGGTAGCGAATGAGAACCTCCACTATATGCCCTCCTGCAGAGTCGCCGGCAATAATCACATTTCTGGGTTGAAAACGCATATCTTCGATTAAGGACCTGTAACCTGCCAAAGCGTCGAGAACGGTGGCGGGAAACAGGTTCTCCGGCGGATTAGGACTCAACGACGAGAGGCGGTACTCGACACCAAATGTTCGCATCAAGGAACGAGAGTGCTCGAGGAGTCCGCGGGTTATGTTGGATGTCATGAAGTTGGGATTGGCCGAACCCGTCTATCGAACATGTTTGATTACTAGTAACCTGGATTGTCTAGCAAAGACGTGAAACTTACGGTGAATGCGCCAACACGGAAATGGAGGACAGTCTTCTCGTCCTCTCTGGCTTTCGCCTCCTACTGATAACCAGGCTTGAACAACCAGTAACCGGAGACGCGTGCGGGCACTACTCCAGGGTCTTTAGCGTAAAACTTCAATTGTCCCCGGACTAAGTCATCGCGAACGGGTTCCATCCAAGCGAATTGAGCGTCTTTATACTTCGCGGAGGGATCTATTTTCTGCCTGAAGTTCAACTTCACTGGGAAGGCTG